AACGGTTACCGTGTTGCTCTGACACGCAGAGGTCATGGGTACGGTTTTTTTTTTCATTCATGAGTCACTATGTTTGTGGTTGTCTATGTCGCCACACCCGCAGAACAAAATGATAATCGCAACAAAGTAATATTTTAGGAAAAATAAAAAACATGTTTTCGTTGATAGGTTCTTAAATACTGAACGTAGGTACATGATAGCTTTAAGGAAAGAATATTTTTTGTGCTTTAGAATGCATAAATATTATAAATGAAACAGCCGTAAGTTAAGCCAAAATGGAGATATTTCAATAATAAATAATAAGTCAAAATCAATCATCATGTTGGATTTATATTGTGGATTATCATTTTATTTTCGTTGAGCCGAAAACAAGTATTGCACCAATGACTTATCATATAATTCTACGGGTTATAATAGTACAAGTGGCGAAGATAATAATTATATATCATCTTATTCTCGTAAACATAGTAAGATATTTTTTGGAAAGGTATTTTATTCTGCTGTTACAATGAAACCATGATATGATAATCAACTTTATAAAATATGTATTTAACTAAGACAATATACAGGTAAGGTAAAAAAGACAATAAAAGCTTAACTGCTAGAAAGTAAAACTAAGATTTTTAAAGTATATGAATAACCGCTCACGCGATGCGCTCCTCCTACCGCAAAATGGCGGCTATTTGTTTTCGCAAATTAGAAAAGCATTCAGTTTAAATACAAGTTTTTATAAATAAAAATTATTATTCTACATTGCCAAATAAATACCCTCTGTACTACCAACAAAACCATCTCAAAAAATGCAGTAATACACCGCAAATCCTGCACTTAAAAAGCACTAATTAAATTTTTGGTGTCCTTGGATAAATATGATAATATTCCGCTTGACCGTTTGAGTGGTTCTAACGTTTACCATGAAATTACTCCTTAGAGTATAGTTTATAAACATTTATATTCAGGGTAAACTTAAAAAACACTACTTACGGTATGTTTTCCATAAATAAACACCGAAATCACCAGCCCAAACAATAACAATCACGATTGTCGTGACGTATTTTTGAAGTTGTTTATTTTTTAAATGACAGACCCCGGCGTTAAAAACTTTATGGTTTGCTAGAGTAGTTACCGAAATAGCAATTAATATTAGTTTTTTTACCTGTTATAACTTTGATATCCGGTCGGGTAAATCGGTATAAAATCATCACCGGCACCTCTAGGTGTGGTATGCGTCTACGGCTGCATGTATCGCGTGAGCGGATAAAATTGGGTCCCCGCGGCAAGGTGCCCAAGATGCTGGCAGCGTTCCCTCTTTGTATTGCTATGCTAATGCGTTGAGCAAGGTAGCTGCCGGCCCTTGGGTTTCCCAGACAGTCTATTAAATTTTTAGATAAAATTTTGTACAGATGAAGGACGCTGGGACCCCCCAAGCCAAGGGTTTCGACTCCAAAGGTTGTAAATAGGTAATCGGAGCCGAGATCCTAGTACGTATTACTTTTTATTCTTTCCGCCAGCTTAGCTGCGGAGCCAGCTTTTTTGCTTGTATGCTGGAGATGGGATGAGGCAAGTGTGTCGGCACATGTGGCGTCCCACACCAATGCCCGGTCCATACTCCAAGGGATGAGAGTCATTCCGTCCGGGCGTTTGCCATCTGTTCGCGACATGCCGCTTGGCTCGAGAATAGCGGGCACGTTAACAGTGGCTAAGGCCCGGCGAATGATATCGTTGAGGGCTGCATGCCAGGAGATACGGTCGGCGCTCAGCTGGCAGGAAAGACCGTAGTGACCCAGAGTACTTACGTCTTTGCCGCAAGGACACCGATGAGGGGAGCAAACTGAAACACCAAGGCGGAGGCCTGCAGCTATGCGAATGGTCTCGGCGCTCAGGAAGGTACCGGTACTGGTAGAGGGGAAAGCGTGTAGCCAGTGGCCAGATTCCCACCTGGGCGCCGCTTCCAGATGCGCTCGGTCTATTGGGATGCAATGATTCATTAAGTCACTTAAAGTCTTTTTACACAGATTATTATCCTAGCTCCTTTGAATTTTGGGGTCGGAATGAGAATTTTCGTTTGGGCAAGCTTGGCTCCAGGCGTTTCTGGACTCAATTAACCACGTCACCTCGCAGTTTATTGGCGGAAGCTTTAGGATACTGTCTACGAGGTTGACCGTGCTATAGATTGAGGACAAAAAGACCGGAAGGGCTATGGCTGATATACTCCTGATGCTTAGACCATCATGTCTGATGGGGAGAGTAGCGTGGGTCCAGGTATTGTGGATGAGATGGACGTTGAGAATGGATTGAAGAAGAGCTTTTAGATCAGAACCTATTCATATCAGCTGATTATGGAATTTCCAAGCCGGACTGTCGCGAAGTACGTATGTAAATTTAGGAACGAAAAGGCAATATTTTAAAATACAGATGGCGTAGTGGGTGTCTATACTCAGGAACCTATCTGTACATGAGTTAAAGTTTGAGATTGAATTTTGGGAAAAGGCTGGAATTGAGTCATCTAATATAGGTGCACCTAGGAGGCTAAGCTTGTATTCGTCGGTGACACGAATGTTGGGGGCAAGAGTATTAAAATTTGGAATTATTGTATCCCTGTTGGGATAAGATTAAGGGATGTAAAGTTCGCATTTATCAAAATTTAATTAGAGGCCAATGGTGTTAAAACTGTTGATGATTTGGTTAAGGTCCGAAAGTACGATGTTTGCAGTGCCTCCTAGAGTTCCATCATCTAGGTACCAGACGTTAAGATTTGAATGCAGATTTTGGATGATGGAATGGATGGTGAGACGGAAGATGGCAGGCCCCGGAGGATCGCCTAGCTGACAGCCCACGGCGGATAATAGTTCTTTGGCCCTTTAAACTAGTTTAGAGGGGTCACTATAGCATTGGAGGAGGTAATTGTAAATCTCTGCACGTGTAGCTTCACCTCGTTAAGCCAAGCGTCCCTATTGACCGAATTAAAAGCGTTTTTGACGTCGATCTTGAGCAGCGCCTTATCCTTCGAGTTTTGTGAAGGAAGGTACGGAAAGCGTGAACAGCTGCTTCGCAATCGCTATTAATGCTGAAACCGAGCTGAACGGGCATAAATCTAATACTGAGGTTGCGAGAGATTTGCCGAGTGCATAATTTTGATGCGAGGCGTTTCAATGTGCTACCTACGACAATCGGCCTGACGCCGCCATCCTTTTTAGTTAGGGCTATTAAATGTGCACCGTAAAGGACGGGGGGGGGGGATGAATTTATGATAATGAACAATAAACAACGCTTGCAATTGTAACGAAATAGACTGATCATTTGTTGGGCCAAACAACACACACTTATTAAAATTGCTTTTGTAATTACACGTATAGGTTTTTAGTAGCAGTCGAGTTCCTTGTGAAAGCGTTCGTCCAGGGAAGTACTGCCACCTTGCCTATTTCTGCTACCAAGCAGTAATACTCAAAGGTAAAGTTGAAAGGGAAAGGTGCTGGTAAAATTACAGGCACCCGGGACTTGTCAACTTATGTGTCAAGATGACGGGCACAGTGGCAGTGCCCTTCAGATCTAAGATTGCGATTCAAAGCTCGGAGTGGCACTGATGGGCAGGCATGTCGTAAGGGACACCAGGCTTGTTCGTCCCGTCACTTGGTACCAAAAAAAAAAGAATTCTTTATTATTAGTTCAGTATTTAAAACTCTGTATCTAAGTATCTAAAATAATAAAGGAATGCACGCTTTACTGCACAAGAAACAACAGTTAATGAATATATTATTGTCGTGTTTGCTATGCCTTAATTTATCATTCTATCAATACTTCAATCGTCAACTTTATGCAAAATGGTTACCTCCGTGTACAAATTATTGTAACACAAAGGAAACATCTTTAATATATTGTGTCGCAAATGACCCTTAAGGCGTTATGACTCCTTTTTCTGTAATTGCCCAAGCTTACCTTGTTTTTTCGTCTGCATCACAGCTGCTTTTATGGTAGGAGATATACCGACGGATTCTGTGTAGACAACCCTAATACATACTTACAGATGTGAGTATGATATGAGCTAATCTAATAATCTAAAGAGAAAACCTTTGTTTTAATATCCTTTGCTAATCTCCAATATTAATTTATGGTATCGAAAAACTATCGACAATATTACAACACTGGCATAAATATATCAACGTTTCTATGCATCCTTTACCAAGCGGGTCTTCGATTTGGGACGTAAGATTGTTGACATTGACTTTACCTTCAAATATTTGACAGCACCTTTCTATTGTTCTTGAGAAATTCTACCTTTGTTTTGAAAGTAGCATAGGGCATTGTCGCAAGGTTTATTTCATATCAAGTCCAGTAAACACGAAAATATATTTTTCCATATCATATTTAGGCGTTTTCGTTACCATTTACACGTAATAAGCCTTATCAGGGCTAATAATTCATTTTGCTGTAATATAAATACCATAATGATTTTCTAATATTTCTTAAACAAAATGTTACAACAAATACAACCTTCCTACCCCATACATAGTTTTATAATTGGTAGAATAAAAGTAAGCAAATTATCTTTATCTTATTTTTTATTAAACTGATAATTTTTACAAAGAAACTATTCACATGAAAATTGTTACAGATACATTTTTCTTGATATTAATAACAGTTTGACAAATAGATTTTAGATAAAAGATGTTACACATCCCTTTTTTACTAATTATAATTTTGTACAAAAATTTACAATAGATATTTACAAATGTACACAGCTATATCTTATGAAAAATTTAAATTTGAAATTATGAAAAAAACTCTACAGGCAGTAAATAGGAGTTAATGTGTTTAGTGTTTCAGTTTTGCATTCCACGTGGTCAAAATGCCTTAAAAATGAAATTTATTACTGTGACAAAAGCCGCAGAACTCTACAGAATAAAGAACTTTGCGCAATTTATTACAAATTAAGGAGTTAGTTGAATAACCATATATAGCTAAAACAAAAGGAAAATATGAAATTTCTTACAATTTATACACATCGTTAAGTAAATGATTATGTAGTATTAACATGTTCAAGCATTTCTGGCAATGCATTATACGCTACCATGTTACCGAACCCACCTTTTGGCTCTTTTTTAGTAACTATAGCAACGATTTCTTCTTCAGGTGGTGGTGGAGGAAATTCAACGTTCCCTTCCATTCCTGCTATATCATCTATACTAAGAACTACCTCTCTATTGTCAATTTCAATTCTACTACGCTCTACTGTATTATCCTCCATTATACTATACAAATTCTCTGACTTTGTCTTGTTATACATTTGTCAGGAATTCATATAAAATGGATCATTCAAATTTACTTCATCATTCACAGTATTGCTTTTCTGAGACCACTCTCTCTGTTGATGTTTTATTCTATAAATTATCTCATCATGTATGACTCCAAAACACATGGCGGTCAATGCTAAGCCCGTTAAAGTATATACAGAACAAAACCATAGAACTGTGGAATTGATTGTATAATATCTTACACTGTGAACAGTTGTGTAACTCATCCCTGGTATTATACTACCAAAACCAATAGTGCTTAAGGCCATAAAACAAAAATAGAAACCATCAACGATACTCATATTGTCAAGCTTAAAAAGTATTATTGCTCCTATTGTAATGTAAATAAAAATGGCTGCTAGACAGAGTAATACAGGTGCTAGTATACTAAGTCCGTGCATTGACAATTTAGAATCAGTGTCAGGCCAGCTGATAACATCATCTTTGGCTGTACTTGTCGTCGGTCTTTCTGATATGGATAAATCTTTTTGACTGTCCGGCTTAAGCACATAACATTCTTCAGTAGGCGTCTTACTTGTGTTTTGACTGTTCAACATTTCTTCCTGTTGTCTTTTTAACTTCATCCTACGTTCTTTTTCGGCCATTCTTTTTTCGTCATAACAACAATAGCCACAATTTGAACACAGGCAACAACACAACGCTCTGCTGAAGACGCTTCTTGCCATTTTTGAGAGTAATGATCCAACACTCGATAAATATACGAGTGTCAAAGGAATTCCAAAAAGTGCATAGAGAATTGTCACTCCTTTCCCCAAAATTGTTCTTGGTGCAATATTGCCGTAACCTGCGAAAATAAACGGAAATTAGTTATGTGAATATAAGTGTGACCATCTTATCAAAAGGGGCAGTGAATTTAATTTAATTGTAAAACGTTCTTTCCTTCGTACCTACATTAGAAACTTGTCTGACAAAATTGTTATTGTAAAAGGCTTATTATAACTTCTAATTAACAATACACCAACTTTGATTAACTTTGTTTTCTTGACACAATTAAAGCCAATTTCCTGTATATTTAATGTGACTTTTGTTTATCTTTATTGGAGGACTTAAATAATATGAGGCGCGATTCTTACCAATGGTAGTTAACACGGTTAAGGAGTAGAAAAATGCAAGTGCCAAATTCCATTCGTGTTCCTCATAATGGTTGGTTATGTCGCTTCCCCCGAATTCTCCAAGAGCCATCTCCTTGTAGCTTACTCCGTAATGTGACGCCATTTCCGTCGTCACCCTTTGAACTAGTTCATTCTGGAATTTCAGTATCTCCTGTGCTGCTAACCGAGTCCAGTTTTCTCTGTACAAAATGTTCAACGAAACTGTTATCTCCCAAATATTTTCCACTGCGCGGCTCCTCGCATCCCAAAAGTAATTTGCAGATAATGTCAAATTCCCGTAATCATCATCATCTATTTCCTTCTTGTTTATTTTACTATCATTGCTAAGTTTATGAATAATTTTTTGTCTATCAGGTAATATCCGAGGTCTCACTGGTAGTTCAGTGCCTCCCTCTATAGCCAAGAATATAAATGAACCAAGAAAAGTGTACGTTAGCAGAACAGAAAATATCACGACATTAGTGAGGGAGCCGACAATCAATTGTTTTCTCCGATACTTGGTTGTTTTAAAACAAAAGCAGCAAACTACTTTCTGTCTGGGAGTTTGTGCCCTCTTTCTGCTATTAGATGCCATTGACTCCGCATCTTGGCATCTGTCCAAAGGGATCCCTCCATTTAGCGATGGCTTTGCCAATGTGTATTGTTCGAATCGGCTGATCGCTTCCTTATCCAACACCACATGATCTATGTCCATTTTTAACTGTTACCTTTCTTCCTTTGGCGACGTCGTCATTTTTCTTGCCTTATCTGAAACAAAGAAAACAAAACCGTTAGGAAACAACTATGCTTCTTTCTTCTCGAGTGATGTAATTTTTCAAAGTCCTTCCAGGAGACGGATAAGTGACAAATGGGGTAGTATGACAGATGAAAATGATTAATGTTCGGTTTAGTTTCGTTTTCGTTATAAATAAAATCTTTGAATAAGATTATTAATCGAGAATAGATCTATCAATTTCACATAAGGTAATCGTAAGCTTTTGTTATCAGTTATCCAATGTTTTTATAAACCGTGTTGTTTATACGTTATTTGTATTTCCATGCTTTATTTATTAACTGCACATGCAATTTGTCCTCGTATTATATTTATATTAAATATAGTGAATCTGGGTATATGTTGATGTATTATATTTATCTAAGTGTATTTATTTATGTACTCAGTACTTATAAGGAGTTACATGTATTTTACGTATCAATATTAGAATTTGCAAGTACGTCTACATTCATTTCTGATTTAGTTTCCACCTGCTCATTTACGGGTGCCTGGAAAAAACTAAAGAAAGACTGCTAATAGTATTATTTGTATTTTAATTTTAATATTATTTTTTTATTGTAAACGCAATAAAATATTATTTTTATGCTTAAGACGCTGACAAGCGTCGATGACCTTGCGTCGATGACCTTGCGTCGATGACCTTGAGCGATAACGCGCCTACTATAATTTCTCCAATAAGGTGGCGCTATACGCCCCGATGCGGTAAGAGTGTGGTGTTGGACCTTCCGCTTGATTTAACATAATATTGATTGCCGCTAATAGATGGCGTTGTACTTAAAATACACACATGCTATTAAACAAAAAAATATCGAAGCATATAAGAACTGGACATGTTATGCAAACAAGAAACAACCCACACCTCGAGTGAAATTGAGTTATGTATTTTACTTCTGTTCTGTTTTCATTTTTCAATACATTTTTCTACAGTTTCTATTTACTATTATAATTTTATATACAATTTAATTTCATTTATAACGCCTAAGCACTTCAACGCTAATACTGTCTTATATGTTAAGCCCCACGTCGATTACACTTGGGTTTGTGTTAAACAAGAGTATAAAAAATTTCGTAGTACCTAATCAAAAATTGCGGTCGACAATTAATTCAAGATAGGTCTTCAAAAAGACATCATAAAAATAGGTAGCTTCTAACGCGTATAGTTTAGTTTCATCTAATCCACTGGGGCCCCAAATCTGCTAATTTTCTTGGAACCGTTAGTCATTGTAGTTCCGTTGAAACTCTCTTGAGATTCTATTGCAATTATGAGAACAAGTATTTGTTATTCTGCTAAAATCTAGTTGCAACGCCAATTAGGTATCATGGTGTTAGCATAATGGCAGTGATGGCATTAATTAATTCAATTATTAACGATCGAAGTTGCCTTACTAAAAGTACCGTGGAAATTACGATGCATAACTAATTTTTGCCTCGTTTAATAGCAATGTAGTCTTGAAGTTATATGTATTTTTTTATATTTTTTTTCTGTCAAATTGTACACTACTATATCGACGTACACCCAAAATGGAAAAGTAAAACATATTACAACGTTTGATCATGCGTATTACGTAGTTCCATAAACATCCGGTAGATAGCATTGACCCATTTTGAGCAAATTGTGAATTGCGACGTAAAATTTTTTTCTTTTGAATATATAATAATAATAATAACGCACACACCCAACACAGCTCCGCACTAGGGAAACCAAGTGTCCCGGGTGCCATGGACACACAGATAAACAACCACAAATTACACCCAAACTCACGAAAGAAATAAATGTAGGTCATACAAACTCGGCCCAAGAATTGAACCTAGGACCTCTGCGTGGCAGTCCGGCATGGTAACCGTTCGGCCACGGAGGCAGTTTATACTGCAGATTAGACTGTTTTATTTCTGTTCTCACAAGAACTCATCAGTCCTTATGAGCTGATGAAGCTGGTTTGATTTTTTTTAATATAATTTGTTACATTGACAAAAAAATGCTGTAGAATCTATCATCGTTATGAAATTGTGGCACTGACAACATAGTTTGATTGTAAAAACATTAATACATAGGTATTAACAGACATACAGAGGTCGGCACCCAAGGATTAAAGTTTTATTGATAGATAAACAGATAGATAAACACTTTATTGCTCACACACAAGAATAAGAACAGTACATAAAGAACTTAAAACTAATGTGGGCAAAGGCGGTCTTATCGCTAAGAGCGATCTCTTCCAGACAACCTTAGAGTTAGAGGAAAGCTAATCGGAGCGGGAGACGTAGTGTGCCAATTTTACAAATATAAAAAAATAAAAATATAAAATATAAAATTATATAAATTAAAAAAAATACAAAATAAAAAAAATTAAATAAAGACACGTAGTAAATTATAAAATATTTAAAAAATAATGATATATTATACCTACGTAGATATATGTATATATAAATAAATATACCTAAATAAACTTATACTTACTAATATACACGTTGTAGACTAGGACTGTGATAAAAGATATTTACGCAATCCGGTTTTGAAAATGGGCAGCTACTTAGAATGTCGGACTTCAAATGGGAGATCGTTCCACAATTTTGCAGCCTTAATCGTAAAGGAATTTTTGTAATACTCAGAGCGAGTGAAAGGAGGCTTCAGTAGGTTATCCATTTTAGACCTTAGTTCACGGTTGTGATCATCCCCGAGGAAGCGAAAACGAACCTTAAGGTATGGTGGAGTACGAGGGTCGTAAAGAACATTATAAAGAAAGCTGAGCACGTGCTCCTCACGGCGCAACTTGATAGGGAGCCACTGAAGCCTTCTCCTAAATTCGGCCACATGATCGAACTAAAGTTCTATATAAAGTTTTATTGATGTAGCAACAATATACTTTTCTGGCTGTGGTATAATAATTTCACCAATCTAGAAATATAGCACACAAAAATGCTTTTATCAAATGCTTTATTGGCTCGAATTTCTTAAGTATGTAATTGAATATAAAAAGCTTAATGTAAATAACCATTAGACGTATTTAGAAAACCAATAAAAGCTTTAGCACCTTCATCAACTCAAAGGGATCGTTTACAAACTCAAAATTTCTGTTTATGATATTTTACTTTCTGGACACGTCTTCTCAGTTCGATTTCTCCCGGACGGGATGTTGGTAACGCGTCATGAATAAAAAAAAATATCTTTTTATTTTCTTTTTTCTCTCAGCCTCGTTTTCGCACCTCGTAAACGTTGGACTGGCAAAATTGATATTTTGATGAAATACTTAGCATTTACACATGTAAACGTGTCTGAGAGAAATGTAATTTCAGATCTCTCAAATTTCAATTATGGTGCCCTTTTTATAAAATTATCCATAGTATCCCTTATTTCTGAACCACCACTTCAAGCGCCATCTATATTAGCAAGATGATAAGCATGAGTGTTGTTGCTTAACAAAAATAAAAGTTACTCTATTTTGATTGCTAATTGCTGCATTACTATATGAAGTCTGAGGAGATAGTGGAGTACATCAGATATAAAACCAAATACAACCTGAGGGTCGGGCGGTTGAAGTCCCGCCACAACGTGAATTTCAATTCGTTTGTGGCGAGGGTACCGACCGAACATCTGTTGACCTTCATGAAGGAAAAATTTTGGCCGAAGGGTTTCTTATACGGCGGTTCCGCGGCCGGTTACCTGACACCAGATTGCGCCACATGTCGTCCACTAAACTAAATAAAAAAATATATGAAGAAAGCATCTTGAGTCTAAACACTTTAACCACTAACACGGGCCGGAAAAGAGCTATGTTTTAGTAACCGATTACATTTCGATAATTTGCCTAACGATATGGGAGATGGAAAAGAACTACTGTTGGTTGATAAAACACAATTCTTCAATTATCCCGTTTGGTTTATAATTAACTAAATTTAGAAATGTATTATATTGCTCTTGTAACTTATTTGTATTTTTATATTAAGTTTATGTCACGTTTTCTATTACACTGGGAGTGAGCCAGGTGATCTGTAACACAGGTTTCCAACATAGTACAGACTCCAGCTCTCACTAAGGCACTTGTTATTTGTTATTTTTATTTTTAGTAATTAATAATTGTATTTTTAATGTATTCATACACTGTAACTATACCTTATTGAGAAAATAAAGCATATTGTATTGTATTGCTTGTGCATCGGCATTGTAAAGATCATTACTTTGCTTAGCTGACCAATGCTTTAAAAACTTTTTATTCTTCCAGCTCATAATTGTAAAAGGATATTACTTCTTATCGAATTGGTGCAAATATTCAGAACGCGATGTTTCAAAAATGACTTCTGTTTCAATTATGTTAAGATATATAAATCTATACCTTACGGTAAGTATCTATGAGTAAAGAACTTTCAACGTGAGAGCTGTTCGTATAAATTGATACCATTTACTCACAGTCCACATGACGTGGCTCTTCAGTAAATAAGGTAATAAGCGGACCCTTTTCAAGTGCTTCGACAGGGGAAGGAAGCCCATAATCTGAAGTGGTATATCAACACATCCTAAGGACCTAACGTCAGGTGTACAGCAAATAAAATGCTAAGATAAACGAAGAGAAACAACGATAGTAGCAGAAATGTTAGTAAGCTAAAGGATTTAAAATATGAATAGAATTTACCGGTTACTTTACAAGATTATAAAATGTCAAATGCGAGAATAAGTGAGACAATAGATAATTTAAATATCATACAATACATTCGTTAACGATACTGGTTGTAATGGTCGTACTCAAGGGAATTGTTTATACTATGAGCACTAGAGTAAGGGTTGGGTTTCATTTGTCAGCACGCATTCGCATTTTGGTTGACGATAAATCAATCGAAATGAAATTATTGTTTCAGTTTAAATCGCGTATATTTGTTTTTTAAGCAAACCAAAGTTTCGGATCCTTTACAGGTCCCACGAACACGGCTGATTCTACTAGACGTTAACTAAAAAATAGTTCCATTTCCTATGTGTAACAAT